AGACTTTCACGCTTCCGGCCTCTCCGCGGCAGAATGGGGTTGCTGAGCGTTGCATTGGCTTAGTCATGGAGGTCGCTCGTACCTCCATGATCCATGCGGCTGCCCCCCATTTTCTGTGGCCGTTTGCAGTCGGGTACGCCGCGCATCAGCTCAACCTTTGGCCCCGTGTCTCCTTGCCGGAGACCTCGCCCACACTCCTGTGGACGAGGAAGGTTGGCGACGCGGCGCGTTTCCGGGTCTTCGGTGCTCGTGCCTTTGTCCGCGATACCATCGCGGACAAACTCTCCCCTCGCGCCATTCCTTGCGTCTTCCTTGGCTTTGTCCCTGACGCGCCTGGCTGGCAGTTTTATGACCCCGCCTCGCGCCGTGTCTTTCCGTCTGAGGACGTCACCTTTGACGAGCCGGTCCCCTTTTACCGCCTCTTCCCCTACCGCACTGCTCCTCCCTTCCTCTCGCCGCTCTTTCTCGCCCCAGGTCCTCCCCAGGTAGACCCCCTCCCTGCGCCACGTCCTGCTCCTTCATGTGTTTCTCAGGTAGACCCTCCCGTCCCTGCGCCTGTTGAGGTCATTGGTGACTCCGGTCCTGCTGGGAGTGGTGCTGTCCCTGGGGGTGCGGAGCTTGGGGGTGCGCAGCGTGGGGGTGCTGATTCTGGGGGCGCTGAGCGTGAGGGGCCTGAGGGTGCGGAGCCTGGAGGTGCTGAGCCTGCGCGTGAGGAGCCTGGAGGTCCTTAGCCTGGGGGTGTTGCGTCTGGGGGTGCTGCGTCTGGGGGTGCTGCGTCCGGGGGTGCTGAGCTTGCGTGTGTGGAGCCTGGGGGTGCTGAGTCTGGGGGTGAGTCGCCTGAGGGTTCTGAGACTGCTGTTCTGCGGTCTCCTTGGAGTAGCCGTCTTCGTCCGCGTGTGCCTCGCACCTCCTAGCAGCTGCACGACTGGTACGGTCGTCGTCATTGTCGCGCTTCTGCACCTCAGGGCTCTACTGCTGGGGGTACTTCTGCTGGTGTCACTGGAGCTGGGAGTGGTGCTGGTCCTTTGCCTGCTGGAGGTGCTGGTGTCGCTGGTCCCAGGGGTGCTCGTACTGGGGGTACTGGAGCTGCTGGGGCTAGCGGTGGTGTGTCTGAGGGTACTGCTGCTGGTGGCACTGCGGTTGGAGACCCTGGGACTGGGGGTGCTGCACCAGGAGGGACTGGAGCTGCTGAGGGTGCTGGAGCTGCTGGTGCTGGTGGCACTGCACAGCCACGCCTGTTCTTTGCTCCGCCGTCTCCGTCGTCTCTGTCACCGCCTGACTCCGTGCTTCGCCAGGTTCTTAGCCTCCCCTCGTCTAGTGGTCTTCCGTTACAGCCTGGCTCACCTCTACCTACTCCTTCTCCTTACGCTGAGCAGACACGGGGCCTTACTGAGCGTCGTGAGCCTGCGTCGCGTCTTGTCTCACCTGACCGTTCTGGTCGTACCAGTCGTCGTGTTCCTCGTCAGCGTCAGCCGGCTATCCCCGGCCCTTCCCTTGTAGTCCGTCGTCCTTCCTCTCCTCCGTAGAGTGTTCCTCTGCCGTCTCCTCTTCTGTCTTCTTTTCCTGTCGTTGCGGACCCTGAGTCTAACCAGTTTCGTACTGAGCACCCTACTGTCACACGTCTGCTAGCCACTGTTGTCACTGACGCGTCGTTTGAGTCCACTGCTGCGTCCCCCCTAGTCGCTGAGCTAGTCAACTTTGCTGCTGCCTGTCGTCTACACTACGCTGCTAGTCTTGTTGCTGAGTCTAAGTCTGTTTGTTCTCCGTCCGTCGGGGGTGGGTGAGCTCTTAGCACGGACGTCCTTGAGGACAAGCACGAGGACCTTGAGTGTCTTGCGGCCGCTGCGCCTCATCTCGTGGCCATGCTGCTTGCCCCTGAGGGAGACCCGGATGCACCAAACATCCCCACCCCGCGCTCTTACGCTGAGGCGATCGCGGGTGAGTACTCCTCTCATTGCCAGACATCCATGGACGCAAAGATGGCATCCTGGAAGTCCACAGGCACATACGTCGACGAGGTTCCCCCTCCTAGGCCGAACATCGTCAGTGGCATGTGGATCTTCAGGGTGAAGTGGCCGCCAGGTTCTCCGGCTGTCTTCAAGGCGCATTACGTTGCACGAGGTTTCAGTCAGCGAGAGGGAGTAGACTTCTTCCAAACCTTCTCCCCCACCCCAAAGATGACCACTTGTCGGGTGCTGCTGCACGTTGCCGCTTAGCGTGACTACGAGCTTCACTCTCTTGACTTCAGCACTGCTTTCTTGCAGGGCAGTCTGCACGAGGAGATCTGGCTGCGCCGCCCACCTGGCTTCACTGGGTCGTTCCCTCCTGGTACCCAGTGGAGCCTCCGGCGGCCGGTCTACGTTCTGCGCCAGGCGCCACATGAGTGGCACGACACACTGAGGACGACACTTGCGGCTCTTGGGTTTGCTCCGTCAAATGCTGACCCGTCGATGTTTTTGCGCACCGACACTTCGCTACCGCCGTTCTACATCCTCGTGTACGTCGACGACTTGGTCTTTGCCACTGCTGACACTCAGGCTCTCGCCTTGGTGAAGTCGGAGCTGCAGAAGAGACACACGTGCACAGACCTGGGTGAGCTGACAAGCTATCTTGGCTTTCGGATCACCCGGGACAGAGCAAGCTGCACCATCACACTGACTCACTCACACATGGTGCAGTAGGTCCTTCAGCGCTTCGGCTTCACCTGGTCCTCGGCACAGCCCACTCCTCTGGGTACAGGTCACTTGCTCTCAGCTCCACCTTCGGACGAGTCCGTAGAGCCGAGTGGTCCTTACACAGAGCTAGTGGGCTGCCTCATGTACCTGATGACCTGCACTCGTCCTGACCTTGCATACCCTCTTGGCCTTCTGGCTCGCTACGTGGCTCCTGGTCGGCACCGAAAGGTGCACATGGATGCTGCTAAAAGGGTACTACGCTACTTGTGCAGTACATCGGGCATGGGGCTCGTGCTTGGAGGACGGAGCGACGTTGTCCTCACTGGGCACTCAGACGCTTCTTGGGTTGACGACCAGGCTACGCAGCGGTCGTCATAGGGTTACACCTTCAGCCTTGGCTCTGGTTCGGTTTCTTGTCGTTCTACACGCTCGTCTTCAGTTCTCAGCTCTAGTTGTGAGGCTGAGATCTACGCCACAGCCATGGCTGCACAGGAGTTACGCTGGCTCACCTATCTGTTGACCGACTTGGGAGAGAGGCCTCGTTCTCCTCCAGTGCTGTAGGTCAACAACAAGGCCGCCATTGCCTTGTCTAAGGAGCACAGACTGGAGCACAGAACGAAGCACATCGCTCTGCGTTACTTCCTTGCTCGAGAGCTACAGCAGCGTGGTCAGCTTCGTCTTGCTTACGTGGCCACTCGGGCCAACATTGCTGATATATTCACCAAGGCACTTCCGCTTGGTGATCTTCAGCGTTTCTGTACTTTGTTAGGCCTTGTGCCTACGTTTCCTCACTTGCTGTAGGCTTTGTTTGTACTGTGATATATATATATATATATATATATATATATATATATATATATATATATATATATATATATATATATATATATATATATATATATATATATATATATATATATATATATATATATATATATATACCTGCATGCTTGCTCTGGTAGGTAGAGATCACTGTGATGTTGTTGTTACGTATATATCTCTGCATGTGAACTGACCTTGTGGCCTTTTGCTTGTGCTCAGACTGCGTGGTGACTTTGTGATCCACCCTGAGCTGTGTTTTGTTTCTTCACTTGACTGGTCTTGTGACCGTTGCTTGCTCTGGCTATCCCCCATTTCGCCTATGGGGGTGTGTCAAATTATATATGCATGTTTAGGTTATCTAGGTTGCATGGAGGTTAGCACTAGGGGGTACAGAAACTTCTTCGACACCCTAGTCTTGTACCCCAACCTTGACCTAATCTCATCATTCCCTTGACATAGTCTTAACACAGTGTTGTTGTTAGAGTAGCATTGGTGTCCTCTGGTCTAGTCTGGTGGTGTTCTCTACCCTGGATTACTAGTTAGCAAGAGTAGGACAATGCTGGTGCCATTACTATTTTTGCCCTGACAGGCCAGGATAAATTTCTGCAGAAGCCGTGAAACTACAGGAAGCCTCTGAAAAATTGCCCTGACAAGTCAGGGCATTTTCAGAATTTGGAAAGTTGCCCTGAGGCCTCAGGATGCCCCAAAACCTAGCACGGGCCCTACTAACAACTCCAGCACTATGGCCGAGTCGGACAATGATGGCCTGGAATCAGTGTTTGATGGTCTGGAATTGGCCTAGTGAGATTATAACTTACCGGTAGCATTGATTAGGTACCGTAGGCCTATGGCTTGATGACTAGGCACTAGGCCACATTAAGCTTTCTGCCCCAGGAAGCAAGTCCTGGGGGGAGGGGAACCTCAATATCCGGGAAAATATCGTACTATCCAGAAAAATGCATTACGGCACACACCGTCATCGCCCGGATAAGGCATATATGTCTTATCTCGTACACTAGAAAAAATGCTTGGGTTATTTTGTATTTGGAAAGGTTTTGGGTGTCTAATACGGTAAGTCTTATAAATGGAAACTTTCTAAACTACTTAAGAAAAAAATTCACACATCTTGACAAGAGTTTCTCATAATGAGTGTGGATGTTGCGAAGCTGCCACTTCAGCAACCATTGTTCGGGAAGCCACGTTATGGAAAATACATGCAGAGGCAAATTTGGAAGTACCGAAGTCAGCACGTGGAAGAATTCGTGCATCACAAGGGTAAAAACGTACAAGGTATTTCAAGTTTCACAAAAATATAATGCAGTTTCGATTATCAGACATGTCTTATAATGAGGCTAGCCCGTTTATAAAAGACACCCGGATAATAGACAACCCCTGTCTACTATTCATCACTGTCTACTATCCGGGCGATGACATGACAGTACATAATCTCTATAATCACATATGTACACTAATCAACAGCAAGCAAATCGAACAACAAAACAATCACCTCTTAGCAAGGCTGGAGAACTCGACGGCTCGCACCAGCTCGTGCACGCTGACAGGCTTGGAAATGAAGCCATCCATGCCCGCCTGCATGCACATGGCGCGGTCGGTTTCGAGCACATTGGCTGTCATTGCAAATATCTTGGGCCTCTGGCTTGGCGGCCACATGTGCGTTATGCGCTGTGTTGCCTCGATTCCATCCATCACTGGCATCTGGTCAAAGGGAGATCACCAGGGGAAAAGGGGAAGGAATGGTGCCTTTGCAGAGTGAGAGGTATAGAATAAATGCGTCTCAGAATTTGTGTGCCGATTTGGGCTGAAACTAATTACAGAACAGACCTCTCTTATTCGACACACGCACGCACACACTCATGCACGCACACAGATACACACACAGATACACAAACAGACACACACACACACACACACACACACACACACACACACACACACACACACACACACACACACACACACACACACAGAGCGCATGCAGCACCTCTGCCCCATTGACTTATGAGGCGTCTCAAGTACAGTTAAAGGAAAAGGTGCAGAGCGATACCTACCTGAACGTCCATGAAGACGAGGTCAAAGGAGTCTTTCTGCAGCGCCTGCAGCACCTCCGCCCCGTTGACTGCCACGTGGCATGTGTAACCCATGCGCCCCAGCATCTTGGTTGCCACCTTCTGATTCACCAGATTGTCCTCGCTGAATGGTCATCCAGAGTCACAGGCAGACATGTGCACATAGGGTCATACAGGAATTTGAGTTGACTATGTACCCCATCTTGGTCGCCACCTTCTGATTCACCAGGTTGTCCTCGCTATAGAGTAATGCAGGCTTGCAGGCACATGCGCATGCAGTCATGCAGGAGGGTGTACAGGAACAGGTCATGCATAATTTAGCACATGATGTAAGTGGAGAGATGAGTGCGGGCATTGGCATTTTGGTGCTGATTAGGCAACCTGCTGTTCGCGCAGAAGCACAGAATCACAGAGGACAGGAACTGGAGCGCTGGAGTGATAAGGGTTATGATTTAGTTGCATCGAATTGAAAGCATGAAAGAGAAAGCAAGGCCATGGAGGTGAGAGAGAGGGACTGCAGCAGGGTTCGTACGCAAGGAGAATCTTGAGAGGGTGCTGCTGCGCCAGCCCTGACTGGAACCCTGCTGCATCCACACATGCCCTTGCTGCCGCCCGTCCCCGCGCTCTTCGCCCCCCACAAAATGATCCTGCCGCCCCTCCTGCAGCCCCTCCTGCCGCCCCTCCTGCTGTCCCGCCTGCTGCTGTGGTTTCTGCCATCCCGCCTCCGGCTGATGCTACACTTGTTGGCACTGCAGCGACCGGGGATGGCTCTTCTGGAGCAGCAGGTGTTGCTCTTTCTGTTGCTCCTGCCACTGCCACACTTGGCACTGCTCCTGCTGCTCCTGCTCCTTCTGCTGCCGCTGCCGCTGGTCCTTTCGCTATTCGAGTTTGTACCTTTCCACCCACACCGGCTTCTGCTGCGCACTCTCCTCCTCTGCTACTCATTACCGCAGCAGCCTCTGCTCTGGTTGCAGCCCAGCCTGCCAACACAGCTTCGGCACACGCCTCCGAACCAGTCGCACGCTTGGAAGAGCCAGGAGCCAGGAGATTCGGCAGCGAATCCCCGAGACTTGTGCGGCAGCAGCCCAAGCTGCCTTCTCCACTGCCGTGGTTACCACAGTGCGTGTGGTTACCGCACTGAATCGGGTTACCACAGTGCGTGTGGTTACTGCACTGAATCGGGTTACCACAGTTACTATGTGAGCATTCGTTGCTGCTCACACTGACTGCACTAGCCAGTCCTCTGCTGGAGTGTCCGTGAGGGGAGTGAGTGGGGAGTGAGGGGAGGTGAGAAGAGGGAGCGAGAGGAGGCGGGGAGAGAAGCTCACAGACAAGGCGGTTGATGGCGGTTTGGCGGATGGGGTAGGTGACAACAGCCACGTGGCAGTCTGGGATTGGACGGAAGTCCTGCCTGCTGCCATAGGGTACGAGGAGAATGACCTTGGCAGGGCTGGTGGCGCTGTGGAGGACATCCGGGTCTGCTGGGAGGAGCATTTCTTCACACGCTGCTGCTGGTGCAGGATTAACCGTGAGCTGTTCCGGTGATGCTCTGGTGATTTCGGTGGTCGCTGCTGCTGCTGCTGATGCTACTTCCTCTGCGAGTGCTGCTGCTGGTCCCAGTGCTGCTGCAGTGCCTGAGGGTGCGGGTGCAGGGGGGATCCAGGGCAGCCCAGCATCCACAACAAACAGGTCAAACGCACTGGGGGACACCAGTGCTGTAGCCCCTGCTGCTGCTGCTGTAGCCCCTGCTGCTGCTGATGCTGTAGCCGCTGCTGCTGCTGTAGCCGCTGCTGCTGATGCTGTAGCCGCTGCTGCTGCTGTAGCCGCTGCTGCTGCTGTAGCCGCTGCTGCTGCTGTAGTAGCTGCTGCTGCTGCTGCTGCTGCTGCCATGCCTGCTCCTGCTCCTTGCATGCGTGAGGGTGCTGCCATGTCGCATTGTGGCTGCACGCAAGGGCTCTTACTCGGACACACCAGATCTCTTGTGTGAGATGGAGATGAAGGGGGTGAAGATGAGGGGGATAGAGATGTGGGGGGGAGTGACAAGGGTAGTGACGAGGGTAGCGACGAGGATACGAGAGAGAGCACAGATTCCCTCCTTTCTGTGCGACCCTCATCCCCACCACTGCCACCGCGTCTCCCTTCCTCCCCACTCATGACACCACACCCTTCCCCCAGCACCCGCACACCTTCCTCTATCACCCGATCCGCCTCCTCCCCACTGCTCGCCTCACCCACTCTAAACCCAAGGGATGCCAGGTGTCGGCACACCATTCGCCGAGTGCTTGCATGGGGCAGCACCACCAGTGCGCTCCTCCCCTCTGCTCTCCTCCTCGCTCTCTCCCAACCAGAAACTGTTGCTTCCACCTCACTCACTCCCTCACTCACTCCCTCACACACTCCCTCACAGACTCCCTCCCCCTCTCCCTCCCCCACTCCCTCCCCCACTCCCTCCCACCCGTCACTCTCCCTTCCCCTCACCAAAACCTCCTCCTCACTCCTCACATCTCCCGTCGCCGTTTCACCTGGGTCCCCTCGCTCCTCTTCTGTTCCACCTTTCCTCCTCTCCATCCGCCCCCCTAGAGGAGCGCACCCCTCCCCTCCACCCCTGCAACCGCTGCGACCACCACTGCTGCTACAACGGGTTTGACTGGCGCAGTTACCATCCTGTCTTGCACTGCCTATATCTGCTGCCCTCCCGCTCTCGCCCTCTGTGTTCCTCAGTGTCTCCCCTTCACTAGTCAAAGCCCCATCCTTCCAGCCGCACCAGCACCAGCAGCAGCAGCAGCAGCAGCAGCACTGGCAGGAAGAGCTGCAGCAACAGGCAGCGGCTGCATATCGCTTGCCTTGACGTGGCCCTTGCGTGGCCGCTGCAGCTACAAGTGGCTCCACTTCCCTCTTGCGCTTTCGCAATAGGCCAGCAGCCGCAGCAGACGTAAGCGGAACAGCTGAAGCAGCAGCGGCAGCAGGTGAAGGAAGAGATGGATGAAGAGCAGGGACAGCAGACGAAGCAGCAGTAGCAGCATCAGCTTCATATCCTTGGGACAGCAGACCAAGCGAAGCAGCAGCAGCAGAAGCAGGAGGAGAAGGCGACTTCTGCTGCGCCTCAACAGGAGTGTGGAGGTCAAAGGGCAGGGCGGGCGCTGTGATGTAGAACCTGAAGGTGGACCCGCGCCCCTGCCCGTCGCTCTCTGCCCAGATGCGCCCTCCCAGCATGCCCACCAGCTGGTGTGATATCGCCAGGCCCAGTCCTGTGCCTCCGTACTTGCGCGTCATGCTCGCATCCACCTGCCGCATGCACACAGAGGAGAACGGAACTCAAAGCGAGTGAGGTTTGAGAGGTTGGTTTAGGTGAGGTTTGAAGGAGTGTGGGATGAGAGCGGACGGTGACTCGGGCGAAAGGCAGCTGAGAAAAACATGTGGACGAGGTAGCTGCCAGAGCAGAGCAGGCAATGTTAAAATCACATTTGAGAATTCTCAAAAACATGTGGACGAGGTAGCAGCCAGAGCAGGCGAATTCAGACAGGCGAGCCTTACGAATAGTGAAATGGGTGTGGTGACAAGAGAAAGCACACACACCTGGCTGAACGGCTTGAACAGGCGCTTCATTCGCTCCTTGGGAATGCCGATTCCAGTGTCCCGCACACTCACTGCAATGCAGTGCACGCCATGCCTCTCCATGCCCTGCGTCTCCTCCCCTCTCCACCTCCTCCTGCTACTCAGCGCCTTGCCCCACACTGCAAAACCACTGTGTGCAGAATCCCCACTCCCATCCCCAGGACGCATATCTCCGCCCTTGCTCGTACCACCAAGTCCCTCCTCCTTTGCCTCATCCTCTTCTTGTTCTTCCTCCTGCATGCCTCCCCTGCTGCCTTCCATGCGCATGTCTCCCCTGCCTCCATCTGTTTGTTGCTTCGCAGTCTCTTTCAGCAGCTCTGGCATGTGCTGCTCGGAGCTCCCAGGCAGCCGGGTGGCAGAGACAGTGACCTCCACCTCGCCCCTCTCTGTGAACTTAATGGCGTTCGATATCAGGTTCACAAGAATCTGACACGGGTAAGAGGGGAAGGGGAATAAGGAGGGGCGGATTTATGCGAAACACGTGAAATCGACTGGCTGAACGTGGAATTGATGACATTCGATACGAAATTGGTGGCGTTAATAGGCACAGAAACAACAGCACCGGACATGAATCTGATGCCATTGAGTATGGAATCGACGGCAAGGGTTCGAACATGTAAAAGACAAGATCTTAAAAAACGACTCAGTGTGATGTGTTCTCCTCCCCTGTACCTGTCTGAGTCTCGCGGAGTCGCTTCTGACCACCCGGGGCACATTGGGCTCCACAAAGCTCACCACAGCCACACCTTTTTCCATGGCTCGGATCTGAATGTGCAATCCCAGGGAAGAGGAGCAATCCGAGAAAAGTGGAGCAATCAGACCAGCTAAAGGATGGTCGAATATACAATCAGAGCAGCTAAAGGAGCGATGAGAGGGTCTGAAGCTCACCACCACACCTGAAAGGGTCTGAAGCTCACCACCACACCTGAAAGGGTCTGAAGCTCACCACCACACCTGAGAGGGTCTGAAGCTCACCACCACACCTGAAAGGGTCTGAAGCTCACCACCACACCTGAAAGGGTCTGAAGCTCACCACCACACCTGAGAGGGTCTGAAGCTCACCACCACACCTGAAAGGGTCTGAAGCTCACCACCACACCTGAAAGGGTCTGAAGCTCACCACCACACCTGAAAGGGTCTGAAGCTCACCACCACACCTTTCTCCATGGCAGCGGCAGAGGTCAAAGTCACGGTGCTCGAGGTCGAGCAGGGAGGCGTGAAGAAAGCACGTACGAGGTATGTAAGAGGAGTGAAAGATGCAGGAAATGGGCACACAGAAAAAACGCACATGAGGAGCTTACAGCAAGCAGGGAGACGGCGTCCTCGAGGCAGCGGCAGAGGTCAAAGTCGCGGTGCTCGAGCTCCAGCTCCCCCGCCTCGATCTTGGAGAGGTCGAGGATGTCGTTGAGGATGGTGAGCAGTGCATCCCCGCTGCTCCGGATGGTGTCCACAAACTGCCTCTGCTCCTCCTGTAGTGGTGTCGATAGCAGCAGCCGTGTCATGCCTGGTTCAGAAGAGAGCACGGGTGGCACAGAGCAGACAGGGGCAACAGGCAGGGCACGTTGAGGATGGTGAGCAGTGCATCCCCGCTGCTCCGGATGGTGTCCACCAACTGCCTCTGCTCCTCCTGTAGCGGCGTTGATAACAGCAGGCGTGTCATGCCTGGTTCAGGGAATGGGAGGGAGAAGGGGAGAGGGCGGGCGGGAGAAGGAGTCGTGATTCCAGCACGCAGCTCATGGACGCCATGAGGAGGGCTCGTGGACGCCATGAGAAGGAGGGCTCGTGGACGCCATGAGAAGGAGGGCTCGTGGACGCCATGAGAAGGAGGGCTCGTGGACGCCATGAGAAGGAGGGCTCGTGGACGCCATGAGAAGGAGGGCTCGTGGACGCCATGAGAAGGAGGGCTCGTGGACGCCATGAGAAGGAGGGCTCATGGACGCCAGCACGCAGCTCTGGAGCCAATGGGATGGCATTCCAACCACGCACGCACACCCAACCCTGCCACTCACCAAGCACCCCATTCATGGGCGTGCACACCTCATGGCTCATACACACCAGAAAGACACCGGCGGCACTTCAGTCTATTACCCAACCCAGCCTCCAGGACCAATTAGCCGACTCTGCCTCTACCTGCGCCTCTCTGAGTTACCCCACCCGCTGCTCCACCTGAGCGCACCCACAGAGCACCCTCCCACTCACCAAGAACCCCATTCATGGGAGTGCGGATCTCATGGCTCATGGACGCCAGGAACCGGCTCTTGAGCCGATTCGCCGACTCGGCCTCCACGCGTGCCTCTCTCAGCTGGCCCACCAGCCGCTCCAGCGCGGTCGACTGCTGCGAGATCTTATCCCGCGACAACTCCAGGTCCCGGATGCAGCGCCGCAGGTGGTCCTGCGCTCTTAGGTGCTGCTCAATCTCCGATTTCAGCGCCTCATTGGACCGCATCAGCTGCTCCGTTCTCTCCTCCACACGCTGCTCCAAGGCCGCATTCAGCGCGCGAATCTCCCCTTCTTTGCGCTTCAGGTCACTTATGTCGGCTGAGACGCCGATCACGCCGACGAGTTTCCCTTCGGAGTCGAGGATGGGAGTGTCGGTGACCATGGCGTGGAAGGGCGAGCCATCGCGGCGCCGCACGAGGAACTCGCCGCGCCACACGTCCCCGCGGGTGAGCGCGGCGAAGATCTCCCCCGCCTGCTGCACCGTGGTGTCGGCGGGGGTGACCTCGATTATGCTCCGCCCCACCGCCTCCTCCTCCCGCCACCCGTACATCGCCTCCGCTGCCTTGTTCCTGGGGGTGGCGGTTGAGGGGGAGCGTGGAAGAGGTGAAAGGGAGAGGGGCAAGGTGATGAGAGGGATGAAGATCGGATCCGTACTGGTGCTGTGCTGTCCGCTGTGCCGTGCTGTCACCTGCGCCATGTTGTCGGCTGCGCCGTGCTGTCAGCTGTGCTGCACTGTCCGCTGTGCCGTGCTGTCAGCCATGGTTCATCACTCACCAGTAGGTGATGGTGCCTGCGAGGTCCGTGCAGATGACGGACTGCCCCACCGACGCCAGCAGATCCTTTTGGAACGCCACTGCCACAGGGAGGGAGATGGGGGGGGGACGGAGGAGACGGAGGAGATTTGGGAGGGAGATGGGGGGGAGTTGGTGGGTGATGAGGGATGGAGATAGGGAAAGATACGGGGTGACAGGGGAGAAAATATTCGAGAGGGGGAATGGGTTTCAGGGGAGAGAGGGGAAATATGCGGTCTGCATACAGACGGTAGGAGACTTCACCTGTCCATCACCTACCATGAACCACACCATACCTTCCTGCCGGTACTTCTCGTGGTCCGCCTGCAGGCTCCGCAGTTCCGCCACCAGCTCCGCGCGCGTCATTGCGCACAGCGCCTCCGCCGTCGCCAGGGGGCGCGCGCCATGCGGCACCACCTGGAACTGCATCCCCGGCGCGTTCTTCCGCGGCGCAGGCTCCGCGAGCACTGCGGGTTCCGCACCCGCAAGCTCTGCAGGTTCCGCAACCACTGCGGGTTCTGCAAGCTCTGCAGGTTCCGCAACCACTACGGGTTCCGCCGAATCAGATTTCGTGCTTATCCCCGCAAAACACGCCGCCGCCGCAGCGGCCGCGCTTGTACCGTTCCCCTCGGCCGGAGCAACGGCGGGGCTTGCGGCGGTGGGAGTATTAGGCGCGGTGACAACAGCAGAGTCGACTCCGAGTCTGGACACGATCAAAGGCGGTTGTTGCGCGTCGTGGCGCAGCGACAGGTGTTCCGGGAGGAGCGGAGAGCGCGGATTCGGCAGAATAGATTCGTCCGGATCAAAGGGGTTCGTCAGCACTCGCCGGACGGCTTCGTCATACTCTTTGTGACTAAGAAGTGGAAAGCTGTTATCCTGTGACGCGGAAGGGTGTGGCTCAGGACGAGCAGTGCTCGTCACTAGTATTGCCGCCGGATCTGTTGAAAGAATAGGATCTGGTGAAATATTCTTCGCCTTAACTTTTTGTGAGTTGGTTACTGAGTCGGTGCAGAATGGCGGCGTCGCCTCTTCGCCGCCGCAGCAGCCGGCGCTGTTAATTAAGTCAAGTGTGCCGCCACTGACAAGGTCAGGTGTGCTAATGACTGGTCGCAATCTCTGACTTGCTGACGTGGCTCCAATCTCCGGCTGTGGCTCGTGGAGCTCGTGGCGCTCGTGGCCTTGGGAATGACACTCGTTTCTTTCCGCGGGCGACTCGCATTCATTTCCACTACGTTCCAGTGGAACTGACGACACGGCTACTAATAAGGACGAACTACCTGCTGCTTCTGGTTGGCAGCGCTCGCTCGCATGGGAAGACGTGTCATGGATAAATAAGGGACAAGCTGCAGACACCTTGGCTTGGTGTGCTGACATGGTTTTAGTAAGAGAGAGCAGTGCGGGCTCTTACTCACTGCCGCATGAAACGGGAAACGGTACGGACGAGGTCTGCAGCAAGCGAGTCAGCGACGATGTCGATGAACATGTGGGGGTGAGCAGTCAGTCAGTAGTCACCTAGGGATCACTCCACTGGGACGAACTAGTGCAGAGCAGACTGGTGGTGGTGGGGAGGTGAAGTGAATGAGCCAAGCGCGGTAGTGCAAGCAGTAACGCTTCCACCGCGTTATTCAGGCCTTTCAGTAAGTCGTGACAACGAAGCATCTTCGCTGCACTGCCAATGGGATGAGTCTCCCTGTCCTCTGTACATGACTCGTTAATTTCTCTCGCTGTTCCGCCGCGTGTTTGCACCCTTGCTTCGGATCGAAACGCCAAGTCGTATTCGCTGGTTCGTATTGGGAGGGACGAGGGCGGTGAATCGGTGATGGGCGACGCTACCAGCAGCACGGACTGCTCTAGAAATCTCGAACCGATCTGTCTGTAGCGCATCACTGTGTGTAATGAACATCACTCCCCCAGACTCCACTCCCACCCAACTTCCAGACAGCTTTGACGTTTGATGGTTCTTTCTCCTTAGCCAGAGAAGACGAACAGCTGAAATGAAAAAATCCATCAAGTGGAGGGCAGTGTGCCTCTCCAACGTGACTGACGCACACACAACCAGCCGAGGGGAAGGAATCCATGGCGGAGCTGTCTCGTTTGAAAAACTGATTACAGCGCCGATGCCTTTTTACAGCGAGCAGGTGCCTGATGCCTCCTCGTCATTGGCGGCGCTATTGAATCTCGGCAACCGCTTGGGTCCACGTGGTTGCCTTCTGCAATTGACACGGGCAGTACGCGCACAAAACTTCTGCATTGTCATTGGGACCACGAAATGTACACTTCAATCAAAAACTCGTAGCCCCAAGTAACTTTTAATATGAGAATCCTTAGTTCATCCTAATACATCATATGCACACAACATCGAAGGGAAAAAAATAGCCCTAAAAAAACCTTATCATAGTTCTAACCACTCCATAAATTTTTCCCCTCAATAGAACATCTACAATCGCATGTTTACCAAGTATGGCACATCCACCCATGGCGCCCCCTCTCCTCTCAATCTTAGCTCCTCACCGTGTCGATCCGCCAATTCCACCTCGGCCTCACCAGTGTATATGCTGCTCGGAAAATGATCACTCGGGCATACGCCCTCTGCAAGGCTACCTCTACCGTTGCTGAAAAAAACCGGAAATTATTGCCCCTTTCCACACCAAAAGAGCCCCTTTCCCTGCTGTCGTAACCACTGTATGATGCTCCCCCCCAAGCAATATCAAGTCTCAAGAATCAATGGGTTGAAACATATCCCACTGGATTGCTGCAAAAAAAAAGGTGGTAATTCACTACTTTCCTCTTCTCTTGCTCCCTAATTGCAGAACCTAGTCCATCCGCGCTGCTCATGCTGCTACGTCGGTAAAGAAACGGGACTCACGATGCTCACCTCAAGTGCATGTGCTTCCCCATCTATCAATCTCCTAATCGCCACTTCCACCCTCTTCCCAAGTAATAGCATCTCGTCCTCAATTGTAACCACCCCATCTGACGTTTTGGGTGTTATGGCGACCTCAAACATCACTACATCATGAACGCAAGACTACACATGCAGGTGCTTGTAGAGGAGGAAACGGTGAGCGTCCGACGGGTACTTGAACCCTGCGCCACAGACTCACCTGCCGGCGACCAGAAGTTGGTGAACGACAAGGCCTAGGTGGATTGTCGCTGAAATGCTCCATTTAACAGGAGTCGAAGTAGCATCATCGCATGCTAAAACTGCGGATACCCATGTTGGCACACCCTACCCTTGAAGGGAAGTGAAACGGGCCAAGGTGGCGTCATCACGAGACATGCTCCAAAGAGATTGAAAACTTTTAACTGCCAAATGACGCTGATGCGCTGGGACAGGCAAACGTGTGGATTCATAGTGCAGAGCCCAAGGCTTGGCAATTTCTGCCTTACAGTCGATAAGAGCTTGTCAAGAGCCTTTGTGAATAAAGGCTCCAGTGAATCCTTAGCCTATGGAGTGCAAAAGATGCTCACAGCCTGGCACCACCCATACACGTAGGAGAGGGAACTAAGGTCTGCTGCCGAATGAATAATGAACCCACCCAAAGGTGACAGGAGGTGCAGGTGCAAGCGAGCCATACGCGAGGTTGAGGGGCCTCAAGTGCCAGGGGGGAAAAGCTGCTCAAGGCAATATTCCAAAACACCATCCCAGAAGTGTCAACGACAAAAGCTGCTCAAGGCAATCTTCCATTGCACCATCCTATGAGTGTCAACGACGTCAAGACAATGCGGTCAGTGCGAGTGCGGAAAAGCGGGCATGCAGACATGAAAAAAGTCAGCAGATAAGAGGCAATATGGGGGTAATTCAAAATAGGGAACCCAAGGCACTGATGAATGCAGCTGCGTGAGTCGCTCCCTCCTGGTCCTCCTCTCGGATAGGAACTCTCACCACCTCTAACCCAGTTCCCTACGGAACATCTCTAGACCTTTCGGCACCTCCTCGTTCCCACATCCTACACTTGTGCAATTGCACCTCCAGGCCCACCAACTCCAGCGACTCCCACAGGATGCTATACGCCGCCAACACCCACATAAATGTAAGGTGAGGTCCCAAGTGCCAGACGGGAAAAGCTGCTCAATACAATCTTCCAAAGCACCATCTCAAAAGCGTCAATGGCATCAAGACAAGGGGGGACAGTGCGAGTGAGGAAAATCGGGCATGCAGACACGACAAAAGCCAGAAGATAAGAGGCAATCTGGGGGTAATTCAAAACAGGAAACCCAAGGCAGTGATGACTGCAGCTGCGTGAGTCGCTCCCTCCTAGTCCTCCTCCTGCATATGAACTCCCACCACATTCCCAATCCCCAACGGAATATCTCTATACGTTTTAGCCTCTCTTCGTTCCGATATCCTACACTTGTGCGATTGCACCTCTAGGCCCACCAACTCCAGTGACTCCCACAGGATGCTATATGCCACCAACACCCGCTCCCGTGGCCCAAAAACATAAATGCCATCTGCATAGCTTATGAAATAGACTCCAGGAACATCCTTCATTGTGGGCTTCATAACGACCTGTTGCGTGAACGCCAAAAGGAAAGGACCGAATGGATCTCCCTTTCACGAGCCTTGCTTTGATGCCGACATCTCGACAAAGGGGCCCGTGCCAAGGTAAAGATTAATGGGCATCCCATAGGAGATGAGCAAGAAAGGGACAAGTCCAGCGAAGGAAAAATCGCGGAGGCTATCGAACATTGCGTGTTGATGGAACAAATTGAAAGCATTCACTACATCGATTTGTAACACACACTACGACATATAAGTTGGAATAGTAGAGGAGAAAGCGTGCGCTAGGATCTCCAATCTCCTGGTCCCCATCCCTAGTTGGTTACAACGAGCAAAGCAGGCTGGGACAGAGAAGAACACACAATACCCGCACTAAATATTGAGTTAGCACCTCTTCGTTGGCCACCAGGCGGACATCTCCATTCGGATTGGACAACTCGTCTAGGTTTGTGGCTGCAAGCCATGGTCGCACCCCTTCAGTCACGCATTCATAACTTCACTTCCTGAACACCTCCAACAAATGCGAGATGAAGGAAGGCTTAGAGAGGAATGTGTCTCTGATGTGCTCGGTCATCCATCCAGAAGGCCCAGGTTCCGAGGCTCATGCTGCCAAATGAATAACATGAGTGAGGACATCTACTGTGAGGTGTGGGAGGTAGGAATCGTCGATTTTGAAATGCTCGACCCACTCAGGAATTGCCACCTCATTGACACGGTGCTTCGCTTTCAGCGGGTCCACTGTTAGCTCAGAAGGCCGTGCTGTCAAAATCACATTTGTACTTGCTAGGCTACCCTGGGGTACACCATAGGGGCTACAACCCTAATTAGGTTTAGTGCTTGTACCCTCCTCCTCACTAGTCTCGACATTCCTCTTACTCCTAGATTTTCACATGATATCAGAGTAGGTTACGCTACCTACTAGGGCCTAGCGTTTCGTTTCTACTTGAAGCGCTACTGCACTTCCCTACCGCTCTACCCGAAGCGCGCTGTGCTGCCCTGCTGCCAACACGCCATCATTTGTTTTTTGCGCGGTCGAGAACCCCCCCTACGCGCGCACTGCTGTGCACTGTCGCGCACCCCCCTGCCCGCACGCCTGGTGCCCAGCGCGTCGCTCGCGCTGCCCGCCAGCGATCTGCGCCCTGCCCGCGCGCAATTAACGCGCTCCTGCTACCCACCGCGCCGCTCGCGCTGCCTGCCAGCGACCTGCGCCCAGCCTGCGCCCTGCCCGCGCGCGCCCTACGCGCACCTGCTGCCCAGCACGCCGCTCGTGCTGCCCGCCAGCTGCCTGCGCCCTACCTACGCGCCTCCTCCTGAGCGCTAATGCTGCTGCTACTTGATGCAACAACAGCTCCTTGCTGTTGCTCCTCCTTGCTGCTGCTGCTACTTGCTGCCGCTGCTTTTGCTGTTGCTGCTGCTACTGCTGCTGCTACTAGTACGCGCCTGGTCGCTCACTGTAAGACAAGCAAGTACTTGTCTCCACTCCCCAACCAGGCATCTCATGCGACAACGAGCCAAAATAATGGCACCATTTCTTGCTTAGGTAGGCAGAAGGCAAGAGGTCGCACTGAAGGGGTCAACGCAAAAGTGGCAAAGTAAAAAATGTATCGCCTCTGCCCCTCTTAAAACTTCCCCAAGCGTTCTACTATGGCTGCCCTCCGAGCGACGCCTTCCGTTGCTGGTACCCCCGAAATGAGGCATGGGAAGGCCATGAACATGAATGTTGCTGCCTCATCCTTTGGGAACGCCTAAAGCCGCTTGAGAATGCAGCACTGCGCATTGTGCCCACCCAAAATTGAATGTTGCGGAACACATGGTGCGGAGATTCCTTCGTGGCTCGCGGAGGTGTAGTGGTACGGTGTGGAGATAGCAGTTGGAGTTAAACCGAAGCGTTTAGCGATGATGTCAGCGTATTTTGCGGCGCTGAGATCGATCTTGTTCTCTTCTTCCTGTATATAGAGACCGAGGTATTGTGTCACGGT